CCTGTTAGCACGAAGCTGGTCCAGCGGTAGCTGTGGCATTTTTAATTTGTAGCAGCCTTACATATTGTGGTGCCTCAGATATTGCCTGCGTCCAGGCGTGGGCAGGAATTGAAGGTTGTTTGTTTTTAAAATTTGTTGCATTTGCAGGGCTGATTTACATGTTAAAGTGTGCATTTATTTCACATGGTAAAATTACATTTCAGCTTTTCTCTCATTTTCCTGAGGGACATTTAAAGAATGTGCTATTGTATATGCTATTTGGAATTTATGAATCATTTAGCAGAATGTTTTAGTGAAACTAAGGCAAATGTGTTTTAATTTTTATAGCTGTCTGTTGTTTCTTCTCTCATTTACCGAAACAACAACCACAGTAAATAAAAATAAAAAACATACTGATGTAGCTTTTAAGGAAACGAAAGAAAGGAAACTCAGAGGGGATATTGTCAGTGGTTTAGTGGAACTTAGAGTCTGCTGGCTGCGTGTTCCCTGACTAACCCTGCCCTGTCTGTCTGTCTGTCCCCATGCGCTCTCCCTGCTGCCTGGGACCGACGCAACCGCATACTGCCGCAGGAGCTGGATGAGGTACTGTGTCCGGATGTCTTTGCATGTTAGTGATTGTGTGTTTATAAAATGAAGCCCATGGGCACATCCATGTGCGATGGTAACAGTGTGTGTTTGGACGACTTTATAACTCTCACACTTCAACACTGGGATTTGTGCAGTGTGTCTTCACACCGTGTGAACTGATGATTTGAGCGGAGTTCAGCAGCGTTACTTCCCCCCTTGGCAAAGTCCACGTCGGGAGCGGCAATAAGAGTGACTGTTTTCTCAGAGCAAGCCAGATGGAGCTGCGGTCGTGTCTGAGCGGGGCCGAGGCTGGAGCCGTGGACAGCAGCGCAGCCACGCGCCTGCTCCCCGCGGGCTTGGGCCCTTCCGGGGTTTTTAGCATCTCTGGCAGCGGTTGGAGAGGGTATCTCTCCGTCGCACTTCATTTCTAAAGGGACTGAGGAGCAAGGGAACCGCCGGTGATGTCCGTGCCTGTGCTGGTGCTGGCAGGGAGGAAGTCTTTTCAAAGCTAGTTAGGACGAAGTGTCTGGGCCGGGCTTTTTGTTGGTGTAATTTGGAAGTATGGGTGGGAGATAGAACAAGGACCACCAGTTTCAGAATGGGGGGTCCTAACTAGTAAATGAAGAGCTCTCTGTAAGCCTTAGCTAGTGCGTAGTCACAGTGACCGGGGACTCATCAGTGTCGGCCGCAGCAGCTCAGTCCTCTGGCTGTTCCAGAACAGGTTCTGTAAGCATAGGGGCTGCGGCACTCCGCCCGGCTGAGTCGAGTGGGGCCACCAGAGACCTCTAAGGAGCCTGCCCAGTGGAAGTGAGAGACCCAAAAGACAAAGAACTCCATGCAGAGGAGGGGTCTTTAGAAACTTGATGGGAAATATGTGTTGTGGAAAAACAAACTGTATGGAGTTCAGGCTTTTTTCTGCATCAAAATAAACTTACCTTTGAATTACATTCTCCCACAGGCTGCCTCTCCCACAGTGCCCTCGTGGATAGTGTAATTCCATTCTCTTTTTTTAAAGCACTGATAACTTACATTTATGCATCTTTTGTGCTCCGAAAATCTAAAGGACTTGTAAGCCATCCCCACGGCTCTCTTCCGAGTGGAGTCAGGATGGCAGAGACCAACCCGTTACACACACATGCACATTTGTAAGAATAATGTCCAGGCTTACTTCTGACACTCAGAACAATGTTTGAAAGCAGATCCTTAGCTGCCAGGTGCCTGGGCCAGATGTGCCATCCATTCGTGGGGCTGGGGGCTTTGCTGTTCCTGTCCGGGGCTCAGCTCATGCCCAGTAAAGTGTCCACGTGCCGCGCTGGCCGGCTACGCTCAGCGTGGTGGGGTGGAGAACTGGAGGTTGCAGGATGGATGTGAGGAGATTGGGGGAGACCTGTGCTCACCTGTTCTGAACTTCTGCTCCTCCAAAGGAACGGCGTAGGGATGAGGAGGAGCCCCCCAGGGTCTGCCCTCTAAGCTGCGCTCCAGGCCTTGTCCATCCACTCCAGGCAGCACGTTCCAGAAAAGAGGCACATGCTGTGATCAAGGCCTGAGAGAGCCATGTCCTCCCACAGACCTGGCAGGCATGCAGATGGTCTGCGAGGGCTGCCCGCACACCTGGTCGCAGCACACTGGTCTCCTTTGTCCCTTTGTCCAGCACCATTATGTCTGTGATGGAGTGTGGCTCCCAGAATTGTCCGCAGTGTGTACGCGTTGGTTGGCGCATCCGCTGCGCGTGCCCTCGGCTAATGATGATCGTGTATTCATTTCTGTGGAGTGCCAGGTGCTGTGCTAGGAGCTGCCGTGCAGGAGGGTGGGCGCCCCGAGGCTGGCTTGGGTGAGCTGAAATAGGATTTCCTGTTGGTGTTGCTGGGAACCATGAAGTGTCTCCCAGGTCCCAGGGTGGGCTGAGAGACCCTCTTTGTAGGAGAGGGCTCTTGCTCAGCTCTATTCTTCGTGCACCATGTCTGGGGGGGGGGTCCTGCTCACTTTTGGGGCCTTTCAGGAAGTGATGAGGAAGCTCAGCCTCCACTCATTCTCTGACCTAGGGACCCACCCCAGCTGGCGCTCCAGGTCACTGTCTAGACTTCTCCTGAGCTGTTGTCGATGTTGGTTGGTTGGTTGGTTTGGTTTTGTACCAAATAGCAACTGTTAACAAAATGTACAAGATGTTGAGGTTGGAGATGCTCATGTAAAACACCAAGCCTTAGAGGGCAAGGCCGTGCCGTTGGTCTGGGAAGAGCCTGGCTGAAGCCTGCTAGTTACCCTCCAGAGAGGCTGCCCGGTTGGCTGGGCTGTGTGTGCTGCGCAGCCAGGGAGCAGCCCTGCTCTTAGAGGGGCTTGCTGGCACAGAAAGGGTACAGCTGGTAGAAGTGTTCGGGGCAGAGTGAAAGGGCAGGGGTTACTGCTCTTTTTTTCTCAGATGTATGAGTTGATGAAAGGAAAATCAGTGAAACTAGCAGCACTTATATTCAAATAGTATGATTCTTTTTTTAATTTCTGTATTTTTGTGCAGTTTGAAAAATATCTATTTTGAACATTTAATAATCAAGAAAGGCAGGCATTATTCTAAATTATCACACATTCAAAAAATGGTGCTATCATCCCTGATTTTATGTTTGTCCATGACACTTAGTCACTCCCCCAAGAAAACGCAGATTTCCTGAGCCTGATGATCTTGCCGCCCAGCCTTGCAGCCTCCCATAGCCGTGTGTTGCGTGTGGCTGGCTTCATCTTCCACAGCCCCGTGGAAGTGAGAGTGGCCAGGCTGTAGTTGTCAGTATCGCTTCCTCACCATAGACCTTTCTCGCTCCCTGTGTGTCTCAGCTCAGTGTAGTTCTGGGGTTGGTATGGCAAGAAGTGCACGTAACACTTCGTGTCTGCAGAGCTTGCTCTTTTCTGAATCTTACAGCTCAGTCAGCCTCCGTACACAGGCAGAGCTCCTGGGAGACACCGAGAAGCAGAATCCATCTGCTGATTCACTCCCCGATGGCCAAACAGCCGGTGCCCAGCCAGCAACCCGGAGCTGGGTGCGGGGACCGGGCGCGTCGGCCATCCTGTGCTGTTCTTGCCAGCTGCATGAGCAGAGAGCTGGGATATGAACCTGTGCCTGCCACGTGGGATGCTGGCTCTACCTGCTGTAGCACAGAGCCCCAGGGCAGGCTTCTCGAGTGGGAAGGCTGTGTCGGAGCAATAGACTTACAAGGCAGTGTGTCTGTTCCTTCCATAGGTCGAGGACTCGTCCATACTGCCTGGTGCTCACAGATGCCACTGAAGTGGATCAAGGGAGACAGCTGCGCACGTGGGTGTGCTGCAGTCTGCCCAACGGGAACTGTGACCGAGTTAGGGATCAGGTACCAAGAGTTCTCCGAGGGCACAAGTGCAATCCAAGATTGCAAAATCTCTAAATTCTTAATTTACATAAGTTCTTAATTTTCTGTTTTAAGATGTGGATTTTTTTTTGTTACTTCATAACACAAATTTCTTTAAGAAAAGCTTTAATGTGTAACTTCATACTATTTTGAAGGATAGCTGAGTTAAAATTAGGCTAGGAGAGGGAAAAAGGGTTAGACAATGTGGCGGTTGTTTTATCTGCACGGGAGAGGCGGGGACCACGAGCTGTTGCTCGCACTGCGGTTCCAGCAGGCGGGAAAGCATGCGTGCCATGGGACACACAGTTCCTGAAGCTGCACGGGTGATGGTTTTGCTGAACATATGTTTTTATGATCATATTTGTTCTCATTTCAAATCACTGGTATTTATCTTCATTTATGTTTTCTCTTCCCAAAACCGTCTTCTTTCCCACAGTACATATTTGATATATACTGCGAAACCCATGCCGGTAAAATTCATAATACATACCGTGATAATGTTAACAAAGCCATGCTGATAAAATTCACAGAACATACTGTGATGCACACTGCAAATCTATGCTGATGAAATTCATGGAACACACTGTGATAACGTTACAGACTCGTGCTGATAAAATTCCTGGTACTGTGCTAGGGCTGTGATAATATCACAAATCTGTGTGATACAATTCACAGAACCTGCTGAGGTAACGTCAGAGCCGTGGGGTGCAGTGTGCTGGCTGAGGTGTGAAGACATTGCAAATCCATGTGACACGATTCATAGTGTGTGCTGTGGGATGCATGTTGTAAATCCATGCCATAAAACCCATTGTGCATGCTGTAAATTCATGCAATAAAACCCATAGTGCATATGATAATAACATTACAAATCTATGCAATGAAATTCATAGTATCTTCCACAATGCATGTCGCAAATCCATGTGCTAAATTTGTAGTGCATGCTGCGGTAGCACTGCCAATCCACGCACTAGAAGCGATGCATTTCCTCTCAGCAGAGCGGTGCTTCTGTGTCGGGATGAGATAGCTGTTGCCAGGGACCATATCAGAAGGCGTAGCTTATTCACTGCTTAGACTGCAGTGCAGCGACGGGTCGGCCCCGCCCGTCCCCGCATGGAAGCGTCTTTTAATTAGCAAGCTTCTTGGGTAATTTTGAAAGAGTGTGTTCTCCCCAGTTTTGATTTACATCTCATTTTGGGGGAAAGGGGAAACATCTGTCCAATCAAGTCCTGTTTAAGAGTTGTTTCCACTTCAGCTGACTTTCCAAATGTGATTGGTAATGTCTTGTTTGTTTCAGATAAAATGACGCTAATGACAGTGCAGCTAGAGAGGGAGATGCCATCTCAGGAATCCTCTTTAATGCGTATTTGTAAATAGTAACAGCAGTACCATTTATTTTGCGCATGAGTTCAGAAGCATAAAATCACTGTAAATACAACAAATCATCATTATTGCTCAATTAAAATAGGGTGTAATAATAAAATACCGTGGATTAAATACTAAACTGATGTAGTGGCGTTCTTTTGGCCGGGGAAAAGAATGTTAGTGTCAGGTCTAGCTTCATGTGAGCAGCAGAAGCTGCGTGTGCAAGGCCGGCTCTGCTCCGTGCGGCCCCTGTTGGCTCACTGGGTGCTGGGAGGAGGTGAACGGGGCAGGAGGGGAGGGTGCGCCTTGGCCTGAGCCACCGCGTGCTCCCCAGAGTTGGGTGCCTTGGGGTGGGACTGTTGCCTGGAAGGAGACAGAACCTTCTGGGCCGGTGGCCTGTACCTTGTCTCCATGACTCGTGTTCCACTGAGGAAGCCGAGTTTTCCTGTTGCCTTGTGCTCCTGTGGGGACGACTGTCGTCCCTGGTGCCACGGGTGGGAGTGCATCACAGCACTGGGTTTTGCGGCTGTTATTTTAATCTGATGGCTTCTTGTCCTGATTCATTTTCTTAGCAAATTACAGTTGTATCTCACGGGTCTGCCGGGGTGATTGGCAGCCGGGGAGGGTGGTGCTGGTGGAGAGGATGGGAGCAGTCAGCCCACAGGTCTGCATCTGATGCGTAATAGCTCTGTGGCCTTGGGCAAGCTGCTTTACTTTTCTGGGTTTCAATTTCCGTATTTATAGATTGCAATAATAGTTCCTGGCTCGCCTAGTTTTTGTGAGGATTAAAATAATGGAAAGAATGCACAATTCCTCTTCAAAGCAAACAGAAGGTAATGGCGGTGGAGAGCTGCCACTTGAGGGACGGGGAGCTCCAGACAGTGGCTGTCGAGATGACACACCGTTTGTTTGAGAGTGGAAATGAAACTGGGCTGCAGCAACAGGGGCCAGGGGGCTGAATCACGGCTCCCAGACACTCGGGGGCAGCCGTGGGGCCTGAGTGTGCAGCCCCCGGAGGCCTGGGAGTGTCACGGCCATGCTGGCTGCTGGGGGTAGGGGAGGGAAGCCAGCAGTTTGAGGAGTTTTGCTGTGATCTGTGTGCTCAGGGTTCAGGGTGAGCGACTTGATGAGTTCCTGTAATCCAGACATTTTCCTCGTGTGATTCTTTTCCCTTTCATGTGTGGGTTTTTTAAATTTGTCCTGTTGATTTATTATTAGAAAAGCAAAGGAGTGTTTACTAAATGAGGAGATAAATTTCAATAACCCAAATGAATTTCTTCACCCAGTGCTGCAGTGTGATTTTTAAAAATTGACAAAGCATTATCTGTGAAGAATTCTTATATTTTCCATTATATTTTGATCATTTTTTTTTTTTTGGATCTTTTCAAGTTGCCATTTAAAAAAATCTGAGCTCCAAAGGGCACCTTAAAATCCTTTCAGACTGCTCCTTGCCCCAGGCAGGAAAACAGCTTAACCATGCCAAACCCGTGACTTCCCTCTGTGCTCACACTCGCATAGGCAGTGTGTTACAGAAGTACAATGGACAACAACTATTGATACCCTTTCCGCAGCAGGGAAGCTGTGCCTGTGGTCACGGCACTGGCCGTAGCGCAGCTTGCCTGCGGTTGGAGGCTGCTGCCCCGTGGCAGGTGGCTTTACTGCCACTTCAGGTAGTTGGTCACAGGGCTAGCTCATGGTTAGTGATCTTAGGACTAAGATGACTGGGCCTGCAGTATTTCTAAACTAAACTAAGTGTACGTAAATAAATCTCAGGACTATTAGAAAATTTCGTTTTAATTCCATTTATAGCCTAGTGCTTTTTCAAAATTTATATCTGATGACATTAATTATTGAGACCAGTACTAAAGAGATGTTTGTTTTAAGGCATGTGTGTTGACTTTTTCATTACATTTCTATAGCCAGAACAAGTCAAAGTCATGTTCACAAGTCTGTCCAAGGAAGTTAAGAACTGTGCATGAAAAGATAGGAAAGCAGTACCAGATCCTAGCAGTAGCAAAGCGAGTCTGTACCCAGGCAAGTGCATTTCTTCCTCGGTGTCTGTCTTCTTAGGGAGTGATGTTTAGAGCAGATGGGAGCGGCTTGCTGCGTCCAGATGCTCATCACCCTGTCCCATCATCTCTCCAGCTTGCTGACGACCGCATGGCGCTGGTGCCGGGCATCAGCCTCGACCCCGAGGCAGCGATCGGCGTGACCAAGCGGTGCCCTCCCAGATGGGTGGACGGAGTGGATGAAGTGAGTGGAATGTTGCTTTCACGTACTTATGTTTTTGTGTAATTAGAATGATGTACCTCAAGATGTCTGATATCTGAGCATTAGGACAACATTTTAAGATGTCTCATAAGTACCACAACATCTTATAAGAAATCTGGTAGGACAACATATTTAAGATAATCTTGTAATGATGAAAACACACCTTAAGCTGTCCAGTAACTATAACGTTTTTAAGATGTCTGCTGTAAAAGTCATTTGGTCACCCTTGTCGGTTTGTCTCCGGAGACACTTTAATTTTTGAGTTTTGTTTTACACGATACAAAAAAAAAGTTGTGTGTTAATGATTATTGACTTCAGTTGTAACTTTAGTAACATGAATTAGAGGAAGAAATTGAAAAAATTGTACAACAAAGAATGGTTTTTGATTTCCTAGTAACTTGAGTTACAGGTTGTTTACATATCAGCAGGTTCCTCAGTTTCTTGAAAGCCAGGCTGTGCTGAGCGTGGCTGACCGGCTCAGACACACAGGTAACTGCAGTGACTCCCTTTGTCTAGATCCAGTACGACGTGGGCCGGATTAGACAGAAGATGAAAGAACTAGCTAGCCTTCATGACAAGCACTTGAACAGACCCACACTAGATGACAGCTGCGAGGAGGAGCATGCCATTGAGATAACCACGCAGGAGATCACGCAGGTGAGGGTGGCCTGGGTGCGGGCTGGGGGGCAGGGAGGCTGCAGAGTGCCCTGGGCCCTCCCTGGGTGCAGGCTGCGGGGCGGAGAGGCTGCAGAGCACACAGGCACCCTGGGCCCTCCCTGGGCACCCTGGGCCCTCCCTGGCCCTCCCTGACCCTCCCTGGCCCTCCCTGACCCTCCCTGACCCTCCCTGACCCTCCCTGACCCTCCCTGGCCCTCCCTGACCCTCCCTGCTCCCTGAAGTCACCGGTCGCTGCCTGGTGCTCGCTGCCTGGTGCTCACGTTGGGAGGCAACTGTCTTGGGAACCTTCCTGGAATGATGACATAGAATCTAAACTCCGAGCATTACTGAGAGTTCAGTCTACTCATCTTCAAATGTATAGCTGTCAAAGGCTAGGACTTAAAAATGTTAGGTTAAAATCTAGTTTTAGTCATTGAAAAGAAACAGTGTTTCTAGGAGGTGTCTGTGTGAAATGTGAAGTGTGACTCATGTTGGCTGTGACTAGTGTCTCCGAGTCTCCTGGGCGCTGAAGACTGGGGGATGGGCCCAGTTGGGCATGCGTGAGCCTGGCCTTCTCCTTGAATCTGTGCCAGTGGCAGTAGGGATGGGTAGCAGCCAACTCCTGTGACCTCGCAGGGATTGTTGGGCGAGTGCTGTAGTGCTGGCACTGTAGGTGATGCTGTGCGCGGTGCGGGCCACACACAGGCGCCCACCGAGAAAGGAAGCCCCTGAACTCTGCGTTACCAGCAGCAGTTCCCTTGCTGCTTCCGACTGGTGGGTGCAGAGGGGTGGGGGCTGCTGCCGCAGGCTTGTCCTGAGCCCAGGATCTGTTGTCCTAGCTCTTCCACAGGTGCCAGCGCGCTGTGCAGGCCCTGCCCAGCCGGGCACGCAGGGCCTGCTCTGAGCAGGAGGAGCGGCTGCTTCGGAATGTGGTGGCTTCCCTGGCCCAGACCCTGCAGGAGCTGTCCACCAGCTTCCGGCTGGCACAGTCGGGCTACCTGAAACGTGAGTGCGGCCATCTGGAGAGCCCAGCTGTTGGAGAAGGAGCTGCCTCGGCCGCCCTCCGCCTTGCTGCTTGCGAGCACTTGTTTCCTCACTTGTCCCTTTCCCTGCTCGTGTTTTGTTTTGTTTTGTTGTTTTAAGATTCACTTATGTTATTTGAAAGTCGGAGTTACAGAGAGAGGAAAGTGATTTTCCGTCCCTGATGGAGCCCCCAGACGGCCACAGTAACTGGGCCTGAGCCAGGCAAAGGCCAGGAGCCAAAACACCCAGGCCTCGCAGCACATGAACGAGGAGCCAGGTGTGAAGCAGAGCAGCTAGGACTCCACCCCTTGCTTCTGTGAGATGCCAGCATTGCGAGTGCTGGCTCGGCGGGGAGGGGCAGCCCTTGTTAGGGCTCCAACAGCCACGCCAGGCCCGGAGTGAAGGCACAGCTCCATGTGACAGGAGTTCATGTGGAAGCCAGTGAAACTGACTCCACGTCATGCTTGAAGAAGTTGAAAATCTAATACATTTTTAAACCTATTGATTGCTAAATGATGGGATTTGAGAGAGGTACTCATAAATGGGTAAAAATCAATGAGCACACAAAGCCACAGGTAAAAATCACAACCAAAATATTTGGAAATGCCTAAAAGCCCCTTCTTGGGAACAGCTTTCAACACTCTGCCAGCTCCCACATCGGTCTCCTCCCCACATAGCGGCCCAGCCAGCGTCAGCTCTGTCCCTGTGCCGGTGGCCCTGCAGCCCTGCTCGGGAGAAATCCCCGCACATGCTTGGAAACGCGCAGAGCTGGTCCTCTCTTTGACAGCGGGCGTGTTTAGGTTTTAACTGTATTACTTCCCAAGTGTGAGTCGGTCGTTTGGAAATCCCAAGAGAGTTTGAGCGGTGGGAGTGGAGGGCCTTTGAAGGTGGTGTGGCTGTTCTCTGGGCATTGGGTGACAGCAATGCCTGCATGAGGTCACGTGCTCCGCCCTTGCCCTCACCTCACTCCTGTTGACAGCTGCTAAGAATACCCCGTTTTCACTGTTGAGTTTTACTCCAGATCTCCCCTTTTTTGATGGTGGAGCAGTAACCAGCATGGTAAGGTGAATTCCTGTCTGTGATAGGCATGAAGAACCGAGAGGAAAGAGCCCAGCATTTTTTTGATACCTCAGTCCCACTCATGGATGACGGAGAGGATGCTGCGCTGTACGACCGGGTAGGTGAAGGGCTCACGGTCAGCGGCTGCCAGGGGCACCCCTCTGTCCGCTGGCCTGCCTGGACCTCCGACGCAGGCGCGCCGGCAGCTCGTGCAGCCGCCCCTTAGCTTGGTTCCCAGAAGCCCCGGAGACCTTGTTGCTGCTTTCAGGGACCTTGAGGCAGGCGGTCGTCCCGCTGCTTCCTGGGGAGGAAGGGGGAAGGCCCAGGCTCGGCGCTGGGGGCACTGCCTCTCACGTGGGGCCACCGCTTGAAGCGCGGGGGCTTGGCTCTTGTCCTGCTTGGAGCAAATCGGTGCTGGTTGACCGTCACTTTCCTGAGGGCACAGGGTTCTAACCTGCACACTCTGCCCTGTGTTTTGCCAGGGTTTTACCGACGACCAGCTCATGCTGCTGGAGCAGAACAGCCTGATGGTGGAGGAGAGGGAGCGAGAGATTCGTCAGATTGTGCAGTCTATTTCCGACCTGAACGAAATATTCAGGGATTTGGGAGCCATGATCGTGGAGCAGGTGCGTGGCTTGACCTTCCCTACCTGGGGGCCTTGTGCTGCCGTGACTCGGTCCCTCTCTGGTCCTATCAGGAGGAGAATCGGCACGCCCTGCCTCCCTGTCTGTATGTGCGTGCGCATTAATTGCGTACGTGTGCGGCTGTTGTTCCTCTGAAAGCCGTCAGCCCGCGTTTTTCAGATAAGAAATCCAGACAGGCTCTCAGCTGCTCTGGTGCCCCCGGTGCTCAGGGAGCAGCTCGCTCTGCACACGTGCTGGGTCCCGACTCAGCCATGTCCTGGTGATGGGGAAGATTTGCCTCCCAGACCTGGTAGGTTGTTGGGCGATGGCGATTGGAACCACCAGCTCTCAAGTAGAATTAAATTGTTGTTCACTGTGAAAATCTGATTAGGGCATTTTGTTATCTTGCCAGTGGGGGTTTGGGTCCTGGTCTCTGTGAGACCCACTGCAGGGTGTGTGTGCGGGCTGCGTGGATCTAGCTCCATAATTGCCTGGCACTCCCCGGAAGCTGCTGCTCTGTCTGCTAATGGGGCAGGTTGTCAGTTATAGCCTGGTGTCCCCATGTTCCCGCTGAACTGAGAGATGAAGCAATTAACATTCTCCTTCCGGCCATGTTTTGAATTTGAGATGGTGGGTTGGAACATGCTGTACTGACCCACATGTACTCCTGTGAGAGTCCGTGTGCTGGCCGAGTAAGGGGCACAGAGAACTGGCCTTCTCTGCTTCCTTGAACCCAAGTGTCAAAACAGCAGGTGGGCCCGGGGCCCAGCACCCCCTACTCCTGTGCCTCCCGCACACCACGATCTTTGTAAGGCCACCATGTGTCTGAGTGAGGCAGGTCGCATGGTAAAAACGACACCAGCACCATTGTCGGTGTTTTCCTGGGGTGAGTCTCGGTGCGCCTCCCTCGCGCCCTGCCGCGGAGTGCCCACGCTGTGCCCAGAGCTTGTGGCTGTGCCTTCAGCGCACAGTTGAGTCAGACAGATGAGCCTGTGGGTGATGATGTTTGTCATTTGCATATCTCATTTCTGAAGGTCAATTTTCCCAGTTGCAGTTGTTGATCGTCTGTAACTTTCATTTATTACTCAGGGTACGGTCCTTGATAGAATTGACTATAATGTTGAGCAGTCCTGTATCAAAACGGAAGACGGCCTGAAACAGCTGCACAAGGTAATGAGCTGGTCGTAGGCGCGAGGCTCCATGAGGGCACTGGGCTCAGCGGGGGCACCTGAGCTGCAGCGTCCCTGGGGGCGCACTGGCCCTGCACCTCAGCTCCTGGGGGCTTCAGCCTGGGCCGGGCCGCCTCCCACGGAGAGGAGGTGCCATGTTTTGGGGACTGGTTGGGAGTTCGCTGACCTCCACGCGGATGCCTGCCTGCCAGTGCCGGCTCAGGCCTCTCGTTGGGATGTGTTTCTGCTGGATTGCTGGTGCAGAATCATTCTGGAGAAGAGAAAACTCTAATTTTACCTTGAATTACCACAGCTTGTTTCTGAATATGGTTTTATGAAACCAGTTTGTTGAAGGGAAAATGGTGGATCTCAGCTAATAAGGTGGCTGTTTGGCGAATTTTTGTCAGTTTCTTCTAAAAAATAAGTGGAAGTCATCTTAGAAATTTGTAATCAGTTGCAAAAAAACATACACGTTAACCACTTAGTGTCTCCTGTGTATAACTGGTGCCTGCTTTCTTTAGAAGAAACATGAAAACATTTTGCAGACAAACTTCCATCCGTCTCCAGGCATCGTGGAGACCCTGGAGGACGTCTAGCCATCCAATGGACATTTTTCTAATATACTCCGATGTAACTTCCCCTGCAAACCTGGCCCCTTCTCTGGTAGGGCGGCCTCCCCATCTGCTGTGTGTCCGGGCCCAGGAGCGAGGCTGTGCGGGTCTGTGTGCAGGGGCGGTATTCCCGCGTCCACGCAACGTCCGTGCAGAGGCCTTCGCAGCGTCTAGACAAACACGGTCACCTTACTCCAAGTGGAAATCAACTTGAGTTTCTCAATTTATAGTTTATATAAAACTGGACGTAGTTTTAAAGTTTGTTAAATAAAGGCTGGTGAGAGACACTTTGTAATAGAACGTGGAGAAAGGGGAGAGCTGGCCCTGCGGCCTGGTGCCAGGCTCCTGCAGGTGAGCAGGACTTGCAAGGTGCCCTCGGGGCCACGTGCCCAAGCGCTGTGGCTCGCTCCACTTCATCGGCAGTCATGTGGTTGCCAGAGCTCACCGGGGCTGCCCTGACCACACATTCCCCTTTGGGTACAGGCTCCTCGTGGGCCTGGGATGGGGAGATGGCATCTTTGTGCCCACCAGCTTCACTTTCTCAGGCTTCCAAGTCTGCACAGTGGCATTGGTGGTATTCCCAGAGATGCCCGCGGCTCCTGCCATGGGCTTGGGGAGGGCACGTGGTCTGCACATGCCGTTCACGGGGCCCACTTCACCACTTGTCTGTCCAAGGAGGAGTTGCTTCCTGCCTTCTAGACTAGGGAGATCAAAAATGGGCCTCTGTATGCCTGGCTTCCCAGCCCTGCTTACTGTTCATATCAGCCAGCTCTCCTCTCTTGTGGTGACAGAGGTATGCATTTATTCTAGAACAGGGTCTGGCAGGCGTAGCCCTGAGCGAGCAGGATGGCAGGGGCAGGTCCAGCTGGGTAGGAAGCGTCCCCCTGGGCTTCGGGACAAGTGTGTGGCTGCTTCCCGGACCCACAAGCTCCCGTGGGCTCAAGCAGGTGCAGGGGTTGCAGTGATGCGGGTATGCCCAGACCCAGCAGCCAGAGCAGAAAGGAGGACGACCTGGTCGGGGACTTTGGGGAAAGTGACTCCTCTTCCCCGTCCTCTCTCTGTAGGCGGAGCAATATCAAAAGAAGAACCGGAAGATGCTGGTGATCTTAATACTGTTTGTTATCATCATTGTCCTCATCGTTGTCCTCGTCGGGGTGAAGTCCCGCTGAGTGCTGCAGGCTTCCCGTGGTGCCAAATGCACACGCCCTGCCCATGGGAGGTCACCAGCCAGCCGGCCGGCCAGCCGCGTGTCCAGGAGCAGCCCACCTGGCACGGCCCCCCAGCTGCCTCTGCCGCCAGGGGACGCGTCTGCTTCCTTCCGAGTGGATGGCTGTGGCCTGGGATGCTGCTGTAGAACAGAGGGTCTGTAATGAATTATCATGAGTTGTTATATATATATATTTAAGAGAAAAGGAGTTGAATGTTTGCAGGAACTGCACAGCTGTTCAGGATTACATTTATATGCTATTTTTTTTTAGCATTTGTGTCTGAGCAGCATGTTAAAATAATTTTTGGCAAAAATTTTTTTTAAACCATATGGTTTATAAGAAATTTGCTACCAAAAATTTATGGGTAGAGGCAAAAATGCCTCTTCATCTTTCTCTATATATTTTCCAGTTGAAAACAAACTGAGAATTCCTTTAAGAATTTATAATCCGTTCCCCATTAACTTAATTTAGCTTTTCCATCACTGTTAATGATCAGAGTAACAAAGTGTGAAAAATTAAAAACCATCATTGATGTGAATTAACACATTTAGACGGGCCAGTTAAAATAGCGTCATAAGTTTAAATTAATTGTAAATAGAGTATGCCTCATTTTGAATTTTTGCACTGTTTTCTACTGTAAACCAAAGGGGTTGCTAGGCAAAGCAACCTGCGTGTAAATGCCGATGACAGGAGCCCAGCTCCCACGGCAGGAAGGGTTGGCGTTGCTGGAAAGTCAACCAGATTCGGCCGGAGCGTCCCCGAACGTCCCCAACCTGCCCTGCTCAGCCCATTACTTGCATACTAACCACATAATGACCTGTTCAAACCAGACTCCACTTAATGAACTGTGAATTTACACAGAGGCCATTCTAAATGGGTCACCCCATTTAGGATTAGTGGATCTCAAATTATTAACCAAACATCACTCCATTTCAAAGTAAAATACCCCACTGGTGATTTGATTTATCGGCCCTTCCAGCCCCACTTAGCAGTGCCGGGGAGGTAACCTACTCCGGACAATTAGGAAATCCCATCTGGGGGTGCAGCGCTGGGAGCCCCAGTGAGACTCCACTGTTTACCTGCCTGCTATCCACATGGTGCTTGACAGTGTTCCTGGGACTGAGCTCGCGCGGCTAGGGACCGCAGTCGTCCGCATCTTGTCTTGTCTTAACAGACACCAGCCCGTTTTCATGGTCCTTGTGTCATTCTTGGTTTCTCTTCCATTGTTTTTGCTCTACTTTAAAGCGGACCAGTCACAGAAAATGCCTTCTGAGCTGGCTTTGGCGAGATGTTCCGGAGTTGAGCCTGAGTCCAGATGGCCCGTGGCTGGACCCAGGCCCTGCCCTGCTGTCCCTTCCCAGGAGTTTGCCACCTCTGGACAGCCGTGGGTTTTCTCCTTGCTGACCTAGGGGTGCACCTGGCACACACTCCAACAGATAGGTCTGCGAAAAGCACCCCTGGGCCAGCTCTGCTGCCTCTGCTGTGCAGGGCTTGGGCAGACCCAGGAGGAGTGAGGCTCCGTCGGGCTGCCTGGGGCCACCGTGGCCACACTGGATAACTTCTCGAGTTTTATGAGATGCTGATTCTTAGTAGGACCCTTTAAGAGAGGATTTATATTTATTTTCAGCAGAGAGTTATTAGGGCTGGGTCCCCTGCAACCCACTGGGGTAGTGTGACAGATGTGATTAGAAACTTGTGGGGATCCTACGGGTGGCAGCGGGGTTCCAGTCTGCCTGCAGCTGTGTAGTGCCAGCTGAAGAGCCAGGCAGCCGCTGTGCAGCTGCTGCGGCCAGTGTGCTACCATAGGACAGGCAGGCTCGGAGCCTGGATGAGGACGGGGGTCCTTAAACCTCTGTATTTTTCTCTTGAGCCTATATCTGGGGAAAGACGAGGAGCAGCTGAGGGAGAGAATCCAGTTCCCTCTGCATGAGACGACCTCTGGGGCCTGCCCCGAGTTGGGCACAGGGGCCCTGGCAGGCTGCCAAGGGGACGGTCGCGCCAAGCGAGTCTGTCCCGGGCGCATGACTCTATCAGGACGTGGCGGGTGGTGGTGGTGGTGGCTGTCCAGTCGGACAGAGCGGCCACTCACGATCTTTCCCCGGCTTCAGCTGAGAACTGCCGTCTGTGTGTGTGCTTGGGGGCGGGCGGGGCGGTGCTGGCGGCCGGCTGTGGGAAGCAGTGTGTATCTCTGGTTCTCTGCTAATTGAGAGAGCATTATTTCTTTGTTTTGACACCAAGAGCTTTCAGTGTTTTATCCTAGCTAATGGCTTCTTAAAGGTAATAAAACCCTTCCAACCTGATTGGTCACATAAGATTTTTTTTTTCTTGTATGCTTAAATAAAGCAATTAGTGAAGCGCTTCTATCCAAAATGACTTTTTTTGTCCTTTTTAAAAAACCAATTTACTGTTACTGAAAACTTTTTTGTATAATAAAGCAATCATGCAGATTAAAGAATATCCTGCAATCCTGGTATTAATTTTGAACCCCGGGTTCCTGTTTGCTTAAGATGTGTTTGTATGAGGGGCGGGCCTGGCCTGGCCACTTGTGGAGTGTGTGGGCCCAGGAGTGTGTGCGGCGTGTGTCTGCAGGTCCACGTGGCTGTGAAATGGACTCATCTGGCCTGTACACAAAGGGGGAGCTGCCTCCAAGGCGAGGCTTGGCAACCTTTCCGCAGCGCAGGCGTGCTGTCCACCCGTGTGCTGGCTGCCTTGTTGGGCGTCCGTCCCACACACAGGCTCCTGGGACATGGAGCATTTGATGCTGGCATCTAAAACCTCAGAGATGCTGTTTAGACGCTTTGCCTCCCGTGTGTGTACCTGGCACCGGTCCCCCGTGAGTGGTTGGGCATCACTGCAGGGAGAGGTGGCCGTGTGGTGGCTGTGGGGCTGTCCCCTAGGTGGACCAGGTGCCTGCTGAGCCCACTGACCACGCAGAAACAGCACTACACCAGCACCCACTGGGCTTGCCCCTTGCTGGGGGCGGCTCATTCTCCCAGCTTGCTCATCAGCCTGGACGTTGAGGAACACTGCCCAGGACGTCGAAATGCAGACTGCAGGAGTGAGGGAATGCGTGTACGGATGCTGCGGCCCCCTTGGGTTGTGTTCCCAGCTCAGCTTTCAGTGGCCCAGTCTTGAGGTGACACCCCCCACACAAACACACACAAAGGTAAGCGGGGAGAACCCAGCACAGGGGAGATGGCCCTGAGTGTGTCTTGCCGAGAGGCCTAGGGGAGAACAAGCTAGGAGGGGAATTTTCTTCCCAGGCAGCAGACATCTGTAGGTAACCTGCTTGTAACTCCCTGTGTGAGCAACCTAGAAATGTGGAATCCTTTCTGGCTTGTGTAGTTGGGGAAATGTGGCCTGAGCTGGGTGCAGGTGCGAAAGGCCCTAGCACCACCGCGTGTGCTGCCTCACTTCGGTGCTCAGCACCTTGGATCCCGCCACCCGTGCGGGGGTTCCAGGGAAAGCACCCCATGGTGCCTGCATCCATGCAGTAGCTGTGAGTCGGGTACAGCTGCACCTCTCCCAGCCGTGACCTGGTCTCCGCAGCGAACACCGCACTGGCCGAGTGCCTGCTGGCTTCTCTGGCTGGCCCTGTCCACGTGCTCTCGGCACTGTTTCCGGCTGCGTGTGCACAGTTGTGTTTGAAAGCTGAGCAAGAAGAGCCCTTCGTCAACGTGACCGACGTGGGAGGACTGACGAGGGTGGCAGCAGGCAGGCACCCTCCACGCATGCGTGGGCCTCCCATTTAAGACATGGGGTTAAAGTAGGTAGGTGCCAACCATGTGGCTCCTCTCCCTAAGTCCCATGCCACCCTCAACCAGATGTTGCTTCACAAAGGGACATTCCACTGTGCCAAATGGCAGACTTGCATATGATTATTTGGTCAACTGAAGCAAAAGAAAATAATCATTTGTCCATTGGACCAAATTAGCTCCCTGAACTGCCCAGCGTGCCGGGCATCATTGTGCAGCCGGCACTTGAGCCCGTATTCTGGCCACGGTGGTCCATTTCAGTGAGACGCCATTCATGGTACACATTTAGATGGGGTTCCATGAAAGGAGACCACCGGGCTTCACATTTTCTGGTTTTCAACTCTAATTCTATAATTGCTTCTAGCTAATCATCCAAATTTCACCATTAGCGAGCAGCTGCGTTCTCGCTCGGCTGTGATGCCCTAATGGAGGCCTGGGTCCTGCTTTGATCACTTGGGGTCTCCGGAGGCAGACATGTGGGACTGTTAGCCTGGTGCTCCCACCCACTGCTAGAACGGGGCAGGAGGAAAATGTGTCTCCTGCCACAGCCTACACAGGGGGTCAGATAGAGCCCTGCCTGCGGGCTTACTTGGGTCCAGGGCAAGTACTAGGCCAGCTTCGCAGGGCCGGCATCACCAGCCACTGCCTTGCCAGGCGGCACTGGTTCTGCTTGGGCCATTTTAACTGTTAACATCTACATACAATCCAATGACCTTCTTCAGGAAAGATTCAATGGTCGAGATGTGATTTGGTAAAAAGCTTCCTCAAGATTTTTTTTTTCTTTTTTTCCTATTATGAAGATGAGAGCAGGCTGAGGCTAAGGGAGGTTTGCGGATGGCCATGTGTCATTATCCCTCGCTAGGTTGTGTGTGTAATTGGTGTGAAGAGACGCCTGCTGCCAAGCAGGAAATGATGGGTCTGTTGTGCCGTGGGTCGGTGTGCGTCCGTGTGTGCTAACGGCGTATATGACCGTAAAACGCTTACCGAGATGGAGAACGTCATTTTTAAGTTGTAAATAATAAAAAAAAATAGTCTTGAGCAAAACTGGTTTTTACGATTGCCTCCGAATGTAGCACTTCATTTCGACACTATGAGATGGCTTGAAATTGATTTTTTTTAAAATCCAATTAAGCCTCAAGGTTGGTTATCCATTTAAAAGGTCGGGTGAGCTAAGCAATGACAGTGCCTTTGGTTCTTGCTAATAATTAGATTTACACAGGACTTAAGCGCATGCATCGAGCCTCACTGAGGGCCGGCTGAGGCCCTGTGCGCCACGGGGAGGCCGCCATGTCCCCGGCAGTGGCACAGGGCCATGTGGTACATCCCCACTGGCTGCCCACACCTGCCCTCTCTTGCCTGAGGTTGCCATGCCCCTGCCTGGACAGCGCCTCCTGCCCCACGTGTGTACGGGATGCGAAGGTAACTGGGAGGTGAGACACAGTCCTTATGCAGCCCACTAATGAGTTAGAAAAATACTTCAGAATGTCTTTTTATGGTTCTCCTACGTAACGAGGAAGCCCTCATGAATTTATGAAGATTTTCAGAAAGCCGTGAACTTGACTGGAATGCTTCCTCCTCTGTTTGGGTTATAATGTCACTCAGCTTTTGTAAATCATTGAGAATGGATAAGGGATCTTATTTGGAATCCAGCATTTCCGCCTGCAGTGGAATACCAGGAGGGCGGGTACACTTCAGCATTTTCCATCCTGACCTATGTATGACCCAGCCCAAAATATAGAACCTTCCAGATGTAGTGAGAAAAATACATCCTCACTGCCCTTAAAAAAAGAAGTGATTTCTGATTAATTCTTCCTTCCCACATCTGCCCAGCTGCCAAAACTCTGGACGACAGATTTCCAGGTCCTACTGACTTTTTTCTTAAGATTTGCCTTCAGGCTCAGCATGGTAGCCTAGCAGCCAAGTCCTCTCCTTACACATGCAAGGATCATCCCATGTGGGTGCTTGTTTAATCTTGGTGACCCCACTTCCCATCCAGCTCCCTGCTTGTGGCCTGCGAAAGCAGTCGAGGACAGTTCAAAGCCTTGGGACCCATGTGGGAGACCCGGAAGAGTTCCTGGCTCATGGCTTTGGATTGGTTCGGCTCAGCTTCGGCCATTGCGGCCACTTGGGGAGTGAACCAGCAAATGGAAGATCTTTCTCTTTGTCTCTCCTTCTCTCTGTAAATATGACTTTACAATAAAAAAAAATTAAACAAATGTCAGAGACAGACGTGTGCAGGGGCGGCTCTGCGTATGTTTGGGGTTGGGATGGGACACACGTATGACAGGTTTTCCACGACTGAATCATTTTCAGTCCATTAAAGAGATGCACACTGTCCCAAAGTTTCCCCAAAGAAAAGATTTCTCCAGCAAAATTAACCTCTACTCCGTCAGACACTTGCAGGGGCAGCTGTGGCCTCGTGCTTGCTTCCACAGACTCCCTGGTTCCCAGGCCGCCGCCTGCCCTGGAGAACTTGAACCACAGCAGACATAATCTTGCTAATGTCCAGGAGGAAGTAGAAATTTGGTTCCCAGGGCAGGAAAGTTATTGCCGTCTTCATGGTCATGCCCATCCTGAGAGAATGTTCCAGGCTGCCGGGCCACGAGCCGCCTCTGGGGCGCAGGGTGCAGCCTGCTCGCAGACCAGCGCTGGAGGAGATGCTTGTTGGTGTCCGGAAATGGTTCAGCAAACACATTTGTATTGGCGTGTCCTCTCATCCCACCGATCGCTCGAGTGAGGGCTCAGTATTTGCAGAGATTATACAATGTGCTGCTCAAACAGAGTGCAAAGGGAAAAAAAAAAAGACATGCAGTGTGATAGCTTTCACGTAAGATGCATGAATATATGAAACCTGATTTTTTCCCCCAAAATGACAGGGAAGATTAAACCAAAAGCTAATAAGAAGCTGTGACCTAGGGGAGTGACCAGGTTACCTGGGACGCAGGGGCCTCTCGGAGCCTGGCTTCACACTGGCAACTCAGGGACACTGGACATGTTTTATGTATTCAGAAAATGAAATGGAGAAGGCGAGCCCTACACTGAATACAGACTAGTGCATTCCCCAAGCCTGACTGCATTCCACACCCACACGCCCCTCAGGATGGGGTGAGCTTGGAAGGTAAGAGTGGGGTACATCAAGCAAACCCAGGGAAGAGGTCCGTGCTTTCCAGACTGGGGTTGAGAGTGGCAGGGCAGGCACACGGGTGTCCGTGGGACTGCCACTGGGGCTCTGGGCCATGAGAGGGAGACCTGAAAGTGGAGGACAGGCAGGTGAGGATGCCTGAGTGGTGGGCTTTCAGGTCACCGGACGGAAGTGAGTGCCCAGTGCCCTGGCCTGGGTTCTTTGCCCCATCCCCCACCAGCCGGAGCCAGAGGCTCAGGGAAATAGCCACTTAGAGCCTGGAGGCTCGGGCAGGGCACAGTGGTCACTCCGAAGACCCCAGGGACGGGGGAGAGGGTGCCAGGGCTTCAGAGTAGTGGCCCTGAGTCAGGCACGGAGGTTCTCTGCTCTTCATATCCTCCCATCTCCTCTGGAGATCATTCGCATTTTGCACTGGGCCTCAAAAATTCCGTATCCAGACCCAGGGATCAAGGGAGGGTCTTCAGTAAAAACCCACCCAGTAGCCAACAAGAGAGACGGGGAAGGCAGAAAGTCACCTCCAAGAATGCCATGCGGGACGCGGGCAGGGGGCTCGCTGGACGCAGCAGACACTGGGAAAGGGGTCATTGGGAGTGCCAAAGGAGTTGTGGAAAATAGAAATAAAAATCAGTTAATTATATGCAAATTTGAAATCCTTGCATATCGTGGGCCTTCAAAAATCTCATGAAAAATGCATGCAAGAAGAAAAATCAGGCATAGATTTCCATTATTTTTACACCAATATAAACTCATACTTTGAAGATTTATTTTATTTTTTATTGGAAAGGCAGATATTCAGAGAGGAGAGACAGAGAGGAAGATCTTCCATCTGATGATTCACTCCCTAAGTGACTGCAACGGCCGATGCTATGCCGATCCGAAGCCAGGAGTCTCTTCCAGGTCTCCCACACGGGTGCAGGGTCCCAAAGCTTTGGGCCGTCCTCGACTGCTTTCCCAGGCCACAAGCAGGGAGCTGGGTGGGAAGCGGGGCTGCCGGGATTAGAACTGGCGCCCATATGGGATCCTGGGCGTGCAAGGCGAGGACCTTAACCACTTGCGCCATCGCGCTGGGCCCAAACTCATACTTTGAATCCCATGTTTCCGTGAGCTTCTTGAAGTCACCCTGTGACTTCACCAAAGTCAAGGTCACCAAAGACAAGGCCACGATGGATCACAGGGCAGCAGGGCAGCTGACAAGCACAGGGAGCAGCCAGGCCTGCTGGGGCCAAGGCTTTGAAGCCACAAGGGACAGCTGGGGGAAGCATGTGCAGCAGTGTGCTGTCAGGGTCACCTGTCCACGGGCATGAGCAGGATTTGGGACTGTCCACAGGTGTCCTTCCTAAGCAGCACACAGAGATCCTGAGGACTGAGTGTTCGCAGCTCAATCTGAACAGAGCAGAAACGGAAGACAGAAAGCCAGGCTACGGCACGCGGAGTGGAGCCACTGGTCTAGTCCCAGCTGCTCTACTGTCCCTTCCAGCTCCATGATAACGTACCTTGAGAAAGCAACAGAAGATGGTCCTGCACCCACGTGGGACACTCAGAAGTAGCTCCCGGCTCCTGACCCATCCCAGGGATGGTGGCCATTGGGGAGTGAGCCACGGGACCCCCTCTGTCATTGCCCCTCACAGGGACTCTGCTTTTCGAATAAATACATACAAAGTCTCAAAACACATATGCACACGTATATGTGTGTACGTCAATATACTAAGGTGCTTCAAATTTTGAAAAAATAGAATGAAAAGATTTATTTTGGTGCAAAAACTAATTTTGAATTCTATGTGCAGGAAGGGTCTTCAAACATTCATGAGAATTGCCTATAGGAGAACACTGTGCATGGATACCCAAAAGTTTTTGCACCAAAGTGCAAACTTTTAATTTCATTTTCTCTGCAAGCATTTCAAAGTCCTCTCTCATGAACCTGGGCACAGGGCACACAGGTGTCTATCACACACATATTCCAACCTTTGCATAGATTAATTAATGTTTTCAAGGTTTCTTGAGACACACTTTTTTTTTTTCATTCCTCTAGGGACCATTTGGCATAGCTGTGCTCAGTTCACACTGTCACTGCGGTATTCTCCAGCATGAAGGTACTGAGGCCGCAGCAAGGTAGAGCTCGCCCCCCACCACTCAGGGCAGCAAGTCCGGAAACCCCAGGGTTTGGTGGATAGGCACACTTGCTGGCCAGCTGCTTCTGCAGGAAGCTGGCTGGCCTCTCCTCTTGGGGCTAGTGGGGCAGTGCTCATTGCCAGCAAGGGCACCCCGGCTTTGCTCTGCTGCCTTCCCGGTGGCCGTATGCCGCACCCCAGCTTGGCCCCTCCATCGGTTTCTCAGTATACCATGTTCAGTCACTTCAGCAGTCAGCAGTGACCCAGTGGGCCGTGTCCTTCACCCCACCAGGCCTTTGGGTGGGCAGAGTCAAGAGTGGAACCCGAGGCCTGGTCCTGGTCCTGGTCCTGGTCCTGACCTTGGGGTTTTACTGTTTCCAGGAAATGGATTTCTGTGTGCTGCTGGGTTTCACATTCTCCTCCCCGCATGCATGTATACAAGGGAACTTCGAGACACCCTTAGAAATCGCATTGAAAGATGTTTGATACGAAAAAAATGAAATGTAGGCATAGTTTTGTCATAATATACATTTTCTATGAACTTCTTGCCAAATCTACCTATGTGAACTTTTTTTTTTTTTGCGCCCAAATATACTGTTTTCCCATAGATTCCCAAATTCCTTGATACTAACACACAGACATACCTATACAGCATTGTGTACCCAGCGCCTGATGGCACTCAGGCTACTCGGAGCTGAGGATGATGGGCGGATCAACAGAGGGAAGGATGAATGAATGGGTGGATGAACAGGTGGGTGGAGGAGTGCGTGGGTGGGTAGATGGGTGGGTGGTAGATAAGCGGATGGATAAAAATACCAGAAAATATGAAGCTTTCCTCATATCAGATCAAATGGATCAACCACGTGTGAGCAGTCGTTAGATCTTATACAGGGGGATCCCAGCCCATCTTCTAGACTCCTAGAGCCCTCTTGCCTGATGGACGCTCAGAAACATGTGCCAAATGGCCAACTGTACAGTCACAGCTTCCCAGCAGTGATGGGATCTGCTGTCTGGTGTCTTCCAGGAGTCTGTCTCCTGCGAGCAGCCTGAACGTGGGTCTCAGGTCCTCCAAACCAAGAGCTGTATGCTGGCTTTCATCAGAGAACTGGCCATTTATTTTAAACTCTTTTTTTTAAGGAAAATTAAATAGACATGAATTTTTCATTGACAGTGAAATATATACCAAGCCCAGGATTAATACCTTAATAAAAACATCTGCAGAGAGAAGGGGCGCTGGCAGCTGGCATGACTGCGTCAGCAGCAAGCCGATGCCGGACGCAGGGTTGGGTGCCTGAAGACCAGGAGTGTATGCAGTGACTCCAGCTGTAATAAGTGCTCACTCATCCAGGCCTGAGCTGAGCGTCAGCTGCTCTCCAGGGCTGTGGGTCTGTCCCCCAGTCCCCGAGGGTCCTAGGGCAGTCTACCTGGAGGAGTGCCTTGAGGGTCTGGGCCTGGGGGAGTCTGTCCTTTCCAGCCTCTGCCCCTGCCTCTTGTTTGCAAACAGGGCCAAGCAATGGCTCTGCAAACGGGCTCTCTCGGTACCCTCTGTAAACGTGTGAAAATGTTCAGCTGCTGTCAGACCTTCGGAATAAGAGCCAATTAGCACTGACTTTTATGCTGGGGAAATTCCCTTCACCCGCGAGGCAGCTGTTCCAACTGCACCCGCCTGTGGGTTCGGGCCAGTGGGGAGAGCAGGCCCTGCCGGCCCCAGGGTCTGCTTGGCGCTGAAGGGGTGGCCGCGGCCAGGCGGTGGGCACCGAGCCGGTGGGTGGAAGCCTCCAAGGCCCAGCTGTTTGCTCTTCCCAGGTTGAGCCTGGGCGAGGCAGCTCGGGCCCAAAAGCAAGAGGCAAGCGGGCAAGTGGACTGAGCCCCAAGGCCTGGAGCAGCCTGGTTGCGGTGAGCCTCCGAGGGGGTGAGGGCCCCCCCCCCAGTGCACGCACACCCACCAGGGGCCACCTCACCCCCACGGTTCCTCTACCGCCTTCCCATGAGATTGTGTGCGACCTGGAACTACCCCTGGCTCCGTCCTAGCTAAACGGGGTCCTAGCTAAACCCTACAAGGCAGGGTCCGCCGCTCACATGCAGGGCAGCCCCCTACCCCGGCCAAGCATGGAGGTCCGAGCACAGCACGCGAGCCAGGGCTCCGGACCTTGGCTAGGCCTTGGCAGAGCCGGGACGCCGACCCTAGGCAGAGGACCGCCCTGCGGAGCAGTGCCAGCCTCTCCCGGGTCGGTGAGGACGGCCCTGCCCCGGGCTCCCCGGGGTCGGTGAGGACGGCCCTGCCCCGGGCTCCCCGGGGTCGGTGAGGACGGCTCTGCCCCGGGCTCCCCGGGGCCAGCGAGCAGCCCGCCCGGCGTCCCTGCCGAGGCCGGCCAGGCGCTCAGGCCCATCCCGGAAGGGCTCGCGCCTCGAGGCCGGGCCGTCGGGACCCGGCGGGGCCTGCCCTCCCGGCCCGGCCCGGCGCCCTCTCGCGCCCCGGGGCGCGCCCTGCACTCTCGCGAGCGGCCCGGAGCGGCGGGGGAGGCGGGGCCCGCAGGCGCCGGGCGGGCCGGGGCGGCGCCGAGCCCGGGCCGGGGCGGGCGGGCGGCGGGGCCGGGCCGGCCTGGCGGGCGGCGGGAAGATGGCGAACGTGGGGCTGCAGTTCCAGGCGAGCGCCGGGGACGCGGACCCGCAGAGCCGGCCTCTGCTGCTGCTGGGGCAGCTGCACCACCTGCACCGCGTGCCCTGGAGCCACATCCGCGGGAAGCTGCAGCCCCGGGTCACCGAGGAGGTGAGCGGGCCGCGCCAGGCCGCTGAGGCCCGGTCCCGGGCGGCCCAGGCCGGGGGCGGGGGGCGCGTGCAGGCCCCGCCTCGCCGCCCCGCTCGCTCCGCCCGGGCCCTGGCCTGCACTGGGCCTCGCCGCCGCGCCGCCGCCCGGGCGGCTGCGCCCTGCGGGCCCTGCCTTCCGGAAACATCTGGGCCGCTGCCCACCTGCCTCGCGGTGGGGGTGGCACAGGGCCCCTGTCTCCCTGCCCCGCCCTGGGGGCCAGTGGCCCGAGGCCCGTGCAACCCTAGGCGTTCACGTGCGTGCAGCTGGGCCGCGGCCCCACGCCGCCTGGGAGCGCTGATGGTCTCCTTCCCGCACCCAGGCGGAAGGGCTCCCGCAGACACGCCCACGGGGCTCGGGTTTGCGCTTCCGACGGCAGCGCTGCCCTTGCCTGGGCGCCGCTGCTTCACAGCTCTGTGTGTGTCTCTCTCCCTCCTTCCCCATCCAGCTCTGGCAGGCTGCCCTGGGCACACTCAACCCCAACCCCACGGACAGCTGCGCCCTGTACCTGAACTATGCCACAGTGGCCGCCCTACCCCCGAGGGTGAGCCGGCACAACAGCCCCTCGGCTGCCCACTTCGTCACGCGGCTGGTGCGCACTTGCCTGCCGCCTGGAGCCCAGCGGTGCATCTTGGTGAGTGCTGTGGGCACAGGCGGCAGTCCCGGCCCTGCACACGTGGCCCCCACCTGTGCCTTGCACACGGGACAGCAGAGTCAGAGGCCGGTGATTGTCCCCACCCCCGATCTGGCAGCACCACGTCTCTGCCTGAGCTCTAGGGCTGGCCAGCCTCGCGTGGCCCGGTTGCCATGTGGCGGCCTGCACTGGCCTTTGCCCGCCGCGGGCTCCGGCGCCCCCTCACTCTGTCCTGCCTTTCAGGTGGTCTGTGAGCAGCAGGATGTGTTTGCCTCGGCCTGCGCCCTGGCCCGGGCCTTCCCGCTCTTCTCCCGCCGCTCAGGGACTTCTCGGCGCCCAGAGAAGAGGACAGTGGCAGTGGAGTTCTTCCTGGTGGGCCAAGACAACGGACCCATGGAGGTGTCCACGTTGCAAGTGGGTGTCTGACCAGGCGTCCCACAGCCCCTGGGGCAGCCCCACAGGCAGGCTGGGCAGAGTGGGTGCTGCCATGAGCCCGCCAGCCTGGTTTTGTCTTGGGGGTGGTTGGCCCATGCCAGGCCCGTGGGTGTGTTGTAATGACCATCCTGCCCATGGGTATGCAGTACTGTCAGGCGCGCCGTGCCACCTGCTCCCTGGGCACGCCCCTCGGGAAGCAGGCGGCACCAGCAGTGCTCCCCTGTGGGCCTCACCTGTTCCGCCCTCCTGCCCAGCACTCCACCTTCCCTTAGGTCACTGCCCCTTCCTGCCCAGTGCCTGTCTGGGTCTCTTTCTCTGCCCCCAGCCAGCAAACTTGAGCTCTGGCCTGTCACCTCAGCGGGCTCCTGTGCACTGGCCTCAGTGTCCCAGGCATCAGCTAGGCCCCCGGGTGCAGCCCAGTGCCTGGCACGCAGCTCACTCCCACATGAGCGTGGACAGAGCCAAGGGACGCTTGAGGAAAAGGCTGTCCTGCGTGTTCTCACCCCTGGCTCCTTGGTGAGCCCTGAGTCCACTGCTGACTTGGTGGTCACCCTCAGGGCCCCCACATGTGCCGAGCTGGCAGGGACACTGGGCCGAGGCCTTGGACTCCAGGTGTGGGGCGTGGCCATGTAGTGCACGTGTTGGGTCAGTGTCCTGCTTTTCCTCCTGCCCATGCCTTCTGCCCCGTTAGCAGTCTTGATCTGGCCAGGACCCTGATGCCACTGCGCAGCTTCTGGGAGGTGGCCAGGAAGGGGACACACGTCGCCCAGCCCCAGAGCCCCAGCAGCCTGTCCCTTCCTTCTAGTGCTTGGCGAATGCCACAGAGGGTGTGCGCCTGGCAGCTCGCATCGTGGACACACCCTGCAACGAGATGAACACGGACATCTTCCTCGAGGTGCGTGGCACACCGTCCAGGGCTGAGACAGGCTAGGGTGGGTGTTGGAGAAGCAGAGCAACCGAGGGCCACTCCCAGAAGTACTGCTGTCCACCCCTGCTCGGGAGGCACTGGGGGCAGGGCGGGGTGGGTGGGAATGGCCTCGGCTGGGCTGCAGCTGTGAGCTGCTGGAAGCTGGGGGCCCACGGGAGCCGTCCCACCCCCAGTGCTGAGCGGGGTGGCTGCCTTCCAGGGGCTGGCCCTCCCCCACCGTTCAGGCAGCCAACCTTGCCTTGGCCTGCACCACCTCCACGTGTCCTTGTGTTGCCTTTTCCCATGAACTTTTCCAGGAGATTCACAAGGTCGGGAAGGAGCTGGGCATAACGCCCACCATCATCCGGGACGAGGAGCTCAAGACGAGGGGCTTCGGAGGTAGGTGGGGGCCGCTGCTGGCCGTGGTGAGGGGGCAGTGAGGAACAGCCAGCTCCACCCATGTACCTCCCCAGGCTGCAGCCCTCCGTGCCCTGAGAGGGTCCAGCCCCTGCAGCCCAGGGCCCGAGCCTGGGAAGCTGCACTCTCTGGGGAGGAAGGGGCTGCCGGCCAGGTTTGGATTTGAATTCTGCCAGATCCCAAATCACTCTCCTGCCTGCAGCCTCCGTGGCCTCCTCGGCCTCCGCCCAGCCCCGCTCCCTGGCCAGCTTAGCAGGGGCCCCTGTTCCTCGAATATTCGAGGTCATGGCCATGTCAGAACTTGGGTGGGGGTAGATTTCGCTGCCCGGAACTCTTTCCCCCAAGATACTCTCGGTACTGGAGAGGGAGGCCTATAGACTGGTCTCGGTAGATGCCTCTTATGACCTAAGGTTACAAAGACACATTGGGTGGTATAGTCAGCTGGCAGCGTGCCCCAGGGTGGGAGGCCTCAGGATCTGCCCTTTGCTGTCCCCGGAGGAGAACAATGAGACCCCTGAGCTGGGGAGGGGGACCCTAGACGGCTGGTGCAGCCCCTGAGCACTGTACGCACTGGGGAGGGGTTGGGAGTTGGCTGGAGTGCCCTTGAATCACTGTCCAAAATCAGTCTCATTCTGCAATGCTAACTTTTCAGGAAATGACACAGGGCAGGGGTTCCACCCCTCACCCAACTCAGCTGGTTGTCTTTCCTGACAATGCTTGGCACACACTGCTCCTGCAACCCCAGATGTGCAGGATTCCCAGGCTGGCCCGGACAGGAGAGGGGTCAAGGAGCCCAGCTGGGTGGCGGTGCTCCTGGGGAGGTGTCCTTGGGGTCTCACAGCTCCACCTGCCCCTCACTGGGCTCCCCTGTCCTTGCTGCAGGAATCTACGGTGTGGGCAAAGCCGCCGTGCATCCCCCGGCCTTGGCGGTGCTCAGTCACACCCCCGACAGAGCCACACAGACCATCGCGTGGGTGGGCAAGGGCATTGTCTACGACACCGGAGGCCTCAGCATCAAAGGCAAGGTGAGGTGGGGGTGCTGGGGGCAGGGAGGGTGGTCTCTGGGCCCATCCAGCCCCCTAGGTGTTGTGGAGGACAGCATGCATCAGGAGGAGGCAGCACAGTCAGTTCCTAGTCTGTTGAGACCATCCAGCGTGGGATATCTGGGGTCTGTGCCCAGTGGGCAATCAGGAAGTTGGACCAGGCGTCTTGCTGGGGCAGAGGGAGACCACAGACGTGAAGACTGGGTGAAGCCCATGCCCAGGGGGCCGGCTCAGGAGTCGGTGGGGAGGTAAGGGTGGATGCCACGCCTAGGAGGAAGGAGTGCTAAGGGGGTCTTCTCTAGACCCCACCCCGAAAGCAGCAGCCCAGTGCCCAGAGAGAGGCCGGTCTCCAGGGTATAGTCCACTCCCAGCATGGTGTCCATCTGCTCGCTCCTTGCCTGGGCTGTGGTGGCCACCACGCACGGCCAGGGCCAGGAGCTGGGTGCCCTGGGCACCCTCGGAAGGGGCAGACAGGACGACGTGTGTGCCCCAGGAGACCTGGGAGAGGAAAGTCCAGAGGAACAGAAGCTTTGGAAGGGAGGGGCAAGCCCTGCTGGTCTGGGACAGGCACAGAAGCCTGCTGGCCCCGAGACGTCCCACCATGGCCACTGAAGCGCTCTCGGAGAGGACCGGGTTCCTGGCCTTTCAGAAACCCAGACCTGGCAGCACCAATGCCACCACTCCCTTGGCACCATCCCCCCAGGGCCGTGGGGGTCCACCCGTGCCTCCCTGTCGTGGACAGTTCTCAGCACTGAACAGGAACTAAAGGCACTGGTAATAGAAGTTTGCTTTCTCAAGGAAAATAAATAACCAACATTGTCTTACGGAACCCCTTACATACTGTGCCTGTGGGAAGGTGAAAAAGAGAAGTCATGATTGCAGAGCCACTAAGGAGAAGAGGAGCTGCCCGGCCCCAGGACCCTTTCGGGAGCCATGCCCAGTGACACACAGGATGGCCGGTGTCGCACCAGCAAGTTGACCCCTGGTTTTCAGTTTTGAGCTGGCACGTCTGCTGCGCTTCGGAGTGATTCCGTATCAGCTCGGGTTGAGCCCACAGCGCATTTTGTTGCAGCTCTGCCCTGTGCCAGGCGTTGAGCCACGCCCAGAGGCTCGAGCAGCTGGTAGCAGGAGCCCCACGCTGAGCTGACACCCAGGGACCTTGGGCATAGAACTCTTCCTGTGAGCCTTTCCCTAGAGGGCTGTCTGGAGCGCCACCCACACGGAGCCGTCACTTCGTAGAAGCCAGCTAGCAGGTGCCTGGAGGAGCCATCACAGCTCTCAAAGCGAAATCGTGACCCATGTGGACCAGTGGGTCTCACCACATCACGTGGTCCCCCTGCACCCATCGCGCGTAGCATCTGTCCCAAAGGGGCTGTATCTCCCAGCGATGATATCCTTTCCACTTCTGTATTGGGGACCAAAGCTGAGAAACGCAAGAGGTGGTTAATTGTCACGTGGAAGCCATGGGAGGTGTGGCCTATAGACAAGCAGTTTTCAGCCACAGGCAGTACTCCAAGAAGGGGAAGGACAAACGCCTGGGCATGTCCAGTGTGCTTCCCGAAGGTCGCCGGGCTCTGCCGTGGGCCTCTGCATCTCAGCTGGAAGATGCCCAGTTTGGCCTTGCCAGTATCCGCAGTATAGGGAGCGGTACCTCAGTATCTTTTCCAAGAGCTGTGAGCATTCTTTACTGTTACACCAAGCTCAGCAAGTGATGGTTGCTTTTTTTTTTTTAAAGATTATTTTTTATTTGCAAGTAAGAACTACAGAGAAAGTGGGAGAAAGAGAGCTCCTGCTTTCATTAGTTCACTCAGCAGATGGCCACGACGGCCTGCATGGGGCTGATCAGAACAAAGCCAGGAGCCAGGAGCTTCTTTGGGGTCTCCCACGTGGGCGCAGGGTCCCAAGAAGGCGAGCCGCCTCCTCTACTTTTCCAGACACATTAGCAGGGAGCTGGAGGGTAAGGGGAGCAGCCAGGATGCCAGCCAATGCCCACGTGGGATGCGTGTGCCACTGGTAGAGACTAAGCTGACTGTACCGCATTGCCAGTCCCAAGTGGTAGTTTCTTAAGAGCTGCGTGAAGTTGCATCGGGTAACTGCCCATAACGGCGAGATGCACTGGCTGACCCTGCGCTTTCAATGTGGTCTCATCTCATTGTGTGCAAAGTAGTAGCTTGGAGTAACAGACCTTCAAGTCAGACGCCTTTCATCACCTACCCAGTTGCCAAAAAAAGGCGCCCATCAGGAGCCTCATCAGGAAACTCATGAGAGAGCCATTCAGCTGGAGGATCAGGTTCCCCAGGATTCTGGATTTTGCTTGAAAGCTCGGGTAGTAACAAGATGGTCTCTAGTGTTTCCTGGATGTAGGGGGAGTCACTTTGTTTCCTGTCCAGAAGCTGCAGGCTACCCAAGTCCCAGGAACCACAATGGGTCCACCTGTTGTTCTTCCAAGTCAAAGTGGTCTCCGTGGCCCCAGCAGCTTGCCAAGCTTGCCAACCTTCTGCTGGCATCCGCTGCAGCTCCTGTCTCGCTCAGAGCCAAGAGACAGGGTGGCTAAAAACCAGCTACACCGCTTTGCCTAGGGCACTCGTCATGAGCTCGGCCTCGTCTCCCTGTCCTGGGAGTGCAGAGGTGCGTCTCTGTGAGGCGTCTGTACTGTCATGCAGGTACCGAGTGTCACGTCCCCGGAAAAGCGAGCCACAGGATTGCTGTGACAGTGACTCCTGGGGGGAGCGGGTGGATGGTCCCTTGAGGCCATCAGCACACTGGACGTGTGTCCGCAGCCACAGGGGGCCCGGGCCCACAGGCCCGGCCATGCCCAGGTGTTCTCCTCCTGTGGGCTGTCTTGGGAAAGTCTGATTGTAGAGCTAAGCTTCCACAGTCCTGCACCTTCTCGTGGCTTCTGTTGGCACAGAAGGCTTCTTTTCAGCAGTGCAAGGTGGGTCGTTTTTGCTTCATTAGAAAAGTGGCTTCGTTTGTATCTGAGAATATTTTTCACAAAAGCTCAGTGCCCAAATAATACAAGAAGGGCTCAAAATTAGCTCGGACTGTTACAAACCACGTCTGAGGGCTGCTGCTCTTTTGAATAAGAACACTTGGGTTAGACCTGGTAGTCTGTGCCTTTTCTGTCACTATTACACAGAAAACAGCATGGCATGTGTGTCGAGACAGAGTCCTGGACGTGCCCACTGCTGGCCGGAGAGCTGGTAGTGGTGTGGACCATGGGCATCCTGGGTTGGTGAGGAGGGGCTGGTGGAATGGCAAAGATGTCACATCAATTCCAGTGGGAGGTGGCCGCGTGCAGAGAGGGCTGGAAGGACAAGGCCTTTAAATGCCAGGATGTGGCTGAGTGACCAGCCGCTGCTGCCTTGGCAACCTGGCAGCACCATGGCAGACTCGATGTCCATGACATGAGTGAAGGCAGAAGGGCCACATGGGAGGAGGCAGGGTCTGCACTGTAGCCAGATAACCAGCATGGTGGGCAAGGAGGCCAAGGTGAGAGGGCAGAGCCTTGCAGAGCAGGAAGTGCTGAGGGAGGAGGCGGCATGCCATGGAGGTTTTAGGAGAGGGACTCAGCCCAGGAAGCCAGCGAGGTTTGGAATGATGTTGCAGCCAGTGGGAGCAGGCCTGGGAGGGGTTTGGGGGAGGTGCCCCTCACTGGTGGTGGCTGGAGGGCAGGGAATTCAGGAACCAGGAGCTGCTCCAGGGGGTTAAGAGGAGGCAGCAGCCATGGCACCTAGCACTGGGATGGCCAATGAAGGTGGCTGGCTGGGGCTGGGCTGACTGAGGACCACAGTGGGTGGAGAGGGGCACTGAACGGGTCCCCTTCGCCTAACTCCTAGAAGTGGCTGGAAGACAAGGCAGGTACCTGAGTGGTGTGGCTTCAGGGGACACATACCCAAGTTGTGTGGGCACAGGTGACCGCTGTGAAGGCCCATCAGGCTTGGGGAGCCCTGGGGGAAGTGAGGCAGATGTGCTGGTACAGGGGCCATTTGCTTGTGCCTCACTGCCCTATTACTCTGTGTTGTCCACAGACCACCATGCCAGGGATGAAGCGAGACTGTGGGGGTGCCGCCGCCATCTTGGGTGCCTTCCGAGCTGCCATCAAGCAGGTACGTAGGGTGCATGTGTGGGGGCACTCCCTGCAGGTGCCCCTAGGCTGCTCCTGGGCCTGCTCAGCTGGAGGTGCACAGCACCCTGAGCCATGGCCCCAGAGCTCCTTCCTGCACGGGGTCACGGGTCAGCCCTGGCTTCAAGGGCAGGATCCAGAGATCTGGGTGTCGTCCATGAAGCCTGAAGCCCTAAGAAAGTTTGTTTTAAAGGATGAAGGGGCACGTGGGCTGTCGCGTGCCAGGGCTTGCCCCCTGGCAAACTTCCTCAGGCCGGCTGGTCCTGGAGGTAAAGCAGCCTCTTCCCTGTAGCCTGATTTCAGGTGGAGAAACTGAGCTTGGAAAGCAAAAAGGTCTTTGCAAATAGTTTCTGCTTCAGATTGGCCAGGCTCCCAGCCAGGTGTGTGCCATAGGACAGCTCTGTGTGCTGTGGCTTCCTGAACCATGTGACCCACTGCCGAGAAGGAGAGGGCCCCCCCATCACAAGCCATGGCTTCCTCAAACCCTTCTGCCACAACTGTTGCGTGTGTGGGAGGGCAGGCACGCTCTTATCTGCTTGCTGGCTGGGGACCGGGGCATATACCTCGAGGAGGCACTGGCCTGGTTGGCACCACAGGCTGGGCCAACACGTCCCTTTTAGAGCACCGAGGGACGCACCTGCAGGGCCCTTGGGGGCAGTCCTGCAGTGCAGCAGGGTGGGCGAGCAGGTGTGGGAAGGCCACGAGGCCGGCTCTCCATGGCTGCTCGTTACCACCAAAGGTCTGTGCCGCCTCTGAGGACAGGCGGCTAGGCGACACGCACACAGGTGGACCCTGCTATCCTCGGCTGGATCTCACAGATAGCTGTTTGGCAGTAAGGGCTGGTTTCTCAGCCGGCGGCAGTGGGTAGTCCCAGGCCCCATCGTGGAAGCTGCAGCGGTGGCTTGCAGGGCACCCCTCCCACAGAGCCCCTGGGCACTCCTGGTAGCCCTGGAGCACGGCTCAGCCTTGCCTATTCCCAACATCCTCCTAACAGGGAGGCCGTGCCTTGCCAGGCACATGAAATAGAATGGCGGGAGGGGTCATGTCCACGGACTGGCCGCAAGACCAGGATTCTGTACCATGGGAGTGAATCACGGTGGCCGGGTCAGGGGTCTGGGTTCAGCAAGAAGGGCTTGCAGGTACAGGTGTGCCTGGCAGTGCTGGGAGGGTGTTACTTTGTAACCTCGGAGCCCTCTCTCCCTCTAGGGCTTCAAAGATAACCTGCATGCCGTCTTCTGCCTAGCAGAGAACTCAGTGGGGCCCAATGCCACGAGGCCAGATGACATCCACCTGCTGTACTCGGGAAAGTAAGGCTGCCCTCTCCCTGGCCTGTGCCCCACCCTACTTCCTGCCTCCTGGGAAAGGGACCAGAGGAGGTCCAGGGACTCTTGTGTGGCCTCCCAAGTCCTGCTGGCCTCACCGCCAGCACGTCGTGTCCCTGAGCAGGGCTCTCCATCCCCCTCAGGACTGTGGAAGTCAGTAACACAGACGCCGAGGGCCGTCTGGTGCTGGCGGACGGTGTGTCCTATGCCTGCAAGGACCTGGGTGCAGACATCATCCTGGACATGGCCACTCTGACCGGGGCACAGGTGGGTGCTGCCGCCGGGCTCTGTACGCCTCCGGCCCGTCACTGGAGGACTGGGGGGTGGTGGCCGGGCTGCCGTCTGTATCGCCCGGGAGGCAGGTGCGGCTGGCCTGTCCCGCTCTGTGAGCGTGCAGGAAGCTGGGCACAAGACTAGAGCACGGGCTTAGGGTGTTCCTCTTGTGTGTCTGCTTCCCACCCTCGCTGTCCTCCTGGCCTCCCCATGCTGGGCATTGCCCACCCCTCCTAGGGCATTGCCACAGGCAAGTACCATGCAGCAGTACTAACCAACAGCGCCGAGTGGGAAGCCGCCTGCGTGAAGGCCGGCAGGAAGTGTGGGGACCTGGTGCACCCACTCATCTACTGCCCCGAGCTGCACTTCAGCGAGTTTACCTCGGCCGTGGCTGACATGAAGAACTCGGTGGCGGTAGGTCCGGCCCCCAGGGCCTGCTTCCGCACCCCTGGGTGTGACCCAGTCACTCTCCATCAGGCCTGCTGTTGCCCCTGCCTCCTGGCCCAAGCTTTTGTAGCCTCAGCCGGCTGCCCTGCACCTCCCACCTTCCCAGGCTCCTGGGGAGACGGTAGGGTTGGGCAGGCAGGGAGGGGGTGTGTGCAGGGCAAGCTCCTGCCCGCTGCTGGGAGCGGAAGTCACCGTGCACCCTCCTTGCCTTGCAGGACCGAGACAACAGCCCCAGTTCCTGCGCTGGCCTCTTTATCGCCTCACACATCGGCTTTGACTGGCCCGGGGTGTGGGTCCACCTGGACATTGCCGCGCCCGTACATGCCGTGAGTGCCCCCGCCTTCTGGCCTGCCAGCTGTGGTCCCCTCCCCACCCCTTGACCCTGACCCCGGCTTGGTTGTAGCCAGGAACAGCCTGTCCTCTTGTGGGTCCCAAGGCCAGGGGCTCTGACTCATGCTCCAAGGACGGAGGGGCTGGGCGGGGCTACCGGGAGGCCCCTGCTGGGCACAGGACCTCCTGCAAGCCCCGGCGTGTCCACCCTCTTCCCACAGGGCGAGCGCGCCACAGGCTTTGGCGTGGCACTTCTGCTGGCACTCTTTGGTCGCGCTTCCGAGGACCCCCTGCTGAATCTAGTGTCCCCACTGGGCTGCGAGGAGGACACGCAAGACGACACAGGCCGGGACTCCAAGAGACGCAGGCTGGTGTGAGGCTGCCTCCTTCCCAGCTTTTACCTCACTTTGCACTGATCAGTTTTAAACTGCAGGAAGATACCACCAGGCTTTGATTTGTTCTGTTTGCAAGCGCAGAGGCGGTGGGGACAGCGGCCACACCACATCCCAGCATCTCCAAATCAGCCCAAGATTCGGCAGGGCCGGGAGGGGGGCGTGCGTCCTCCCTCGCCCCAGCATATTCCTGACCCGGGGCCCCCGCTGCCTCGGCTCTGTGCCCATGCCAGGTGCGCATGCTGCCTCCAGCCCCGTTCTGTGGTGGCTCTGCCAGGTCCAGGAGCTAGCTGGCTGCTTTGCCAGGTAGACACGTCTGGCTAGGGGGAGGGGGTTTCTCACCCTGGCCCTTGGGCATTCACTTGAATTAAAACCAACCCCACCACACTCTGGGCTCCTCTCATTTTTCATCCGAGCACGCTGGAGACCGCCTTAGGCTCTGTGGCCCACACTGAATCAGGCTTTGAGATCCCCAGTAGGCTTGGGAGGAGGGTGCAGGCCTCATAGCCCAGCCATTTGGCTCTTTGGGGCATCAGGTGGTCCGAGAGTCCCCCATAACGCTGCTGCTGGCAGGGCAGCCCACACGGGCCACCACATGTGGGTAACAGCCCCTGCTGCCCGGTCAATCCCAGTGCCCACCTGGGGTGGAGGCGAGCTCACTGCAGACGCGCGGCTGAGCAGTGTGAGTGCCCTGCAGGGACACAGAAGGGACCCTGGGGAAAGGGGCACCCTGGCCGTGGGCACAGTGCCCTGCTTCCACATGGAGAGCTAACCAGGACAGCTGGAAGTCAAAAGGGACCCAGCAGCGGCCTTGTTAGCAGCACCTGACTCGGGCTCTCGCTGCTGCTTGCTATGTCTGGGCTGGGGGAGCAGCCCTGGAAACCTGTGGGAGACCTGGAGGCAGTGGCTCTCCGGACTGGGCCAGACTCATTGCCAGCCTACAGGAAGCCCAGGCTCTGGTCACTGCAGATGTGGGGAGTGGCCTCTGAGGGGTGCCACTGGGGCTGGAGGCCCCCAGGGGACAAGAGGCTGATCCCTACAGACTCAGTGCCAGCAGGTGGCCAGGGACCCCAGGCTCCCCACTGCCCGCTGCGGCACAGCCCAGCCTCCGCCAACGAGCTTACAGAGAGAATCCTGCAAGTTGGGGGCCCAGAAGGCCACGTGCGGCAAAAGGGCGAAACTGCAGCTTTAGGCTTCAGATGCGTCATCATGGTGTGTATACACACGGGACCAGGGCAAGTACGCACACACGCAACCGGCCATGGCATGCGTGGGCAGCGCAGTCTGCAGCCCAGGGTGCACTGTTCCGTGTGGAGGCTCCACCGGGACCATTGAGGAAGGCAGGATCTCAAAGTTTCCGGCCCCCACTCTGTCCCAGTCTGTGCTTCCAGTAGCAGAAGGCAGGGGCGCATGTCCAGGAAGCCAGCTGGCCGTTCTGTCTCGGGACCCTACCTGGGACCTGCCGGCCACTCCAGTCAGGCAGGCCGCACTCCCCAGGAGACCCAGCCACCACCTGGGGCCCCCTTCCTAACCGCCCTCCCCAGGGTCCCTGAAAGCTTTAGGGCCCTACAGTTCCTCCCCCACTCCTTCAAATAAGCCTGTTAGGGCTGGGCTGCGGCAGTGCCTGGCCACAGCAGCTATCACACCGTGTTCCCAGGAGAATTGGTACTCCGCATTTTTGTTTGTTTGTTTGTTCTTTAACAAAAGGTTGTTTTGGTTTGAGATGCTGCTACTGGCTTCCTCTCTGTTCAGGCCTCTGTAAATGAGCTGTTTTCCAGGCTGCTCTGAGTCCTTGCTTCAAATGAGATGCATCTAAAAGCCCTCAGCCAGCCCAGCCGGCTGGGCCCTGCACGTGGCCCTGCAGGGGAAGGGGCTGCCTTCCTGCCTCCACTCCCTCCCAGCTCCTGCCTCGAGGTCCAAGAGCCAGAGGCAGGTGGCCGGTGTCCAGGGCGGATGGGCTGCAGACACAGCCGAGGAGAGGCCCACGCTGGGCCGGCGGTTGGGCCATTTCCCTCAGGTCCCTGCGGCACTCCCCAGGAATTTTGAGATCTGTCAAGTTAGCAGTGAAAATGTCTGGCAGCCTGGCTTGCACTGTTAGTGTTCGGCAAAGCTGTCTGTTCTGTCAGCTGCACGGGATGCACCAAGATGTCCCAAGCCCCGTCCCACCTGCATGAGCCTTGGGTAGCCAGGAAAGAAGCCACTAGCTCCTCAGCTTGGGACTCAAGTCAGCAGTCAGCATCCCAGCATAACGGGTTAAACCCTCCATGTGGGTGCCAGTTTGAGACCTGGCTGCTTGGCTTGCAGTCCAGCTCCCTGCTAACGCACCCAAGAGGGCAGCTGAGGATGGCACGAGAGCTTGGGCCCCTGCACCCGTGTGGAAGACCCATAGGAAACTCCTGGCTTCAGATTGGCTCAGCTCCGGCCATTGCAGCTGCTTGGGGAGTGAACCAGCGGGTAGAAGATCTTTCTCCCTTGTCTCTCCATAAAGCTGCCTTTCAAATAAAGAGAAGTATAAAAAGGGGGGGCTTTTTTCTGTGTCTGCGACTCTTCCTTCCAGCAGGCTGGATGGGTCTCCGAGGCAGCCATGACCACGAGTCTCTGGGCTGCCTGTGGCCGTGCTGGCTGCACGGCGGTGATGGCCGAACACCAGCTCCGTCGCCTGACCGTGTTCGTTAAACACTGCCTGCATGCAGCTCTTGCAAAGCTCTTCCCTCTCCTGGGAACGTCCCACTCACCTGTGACACAGGCCTCAGTTTCCAGAAGCAGGAGGTAGAACTGCCCTACGGGACTTGGAGTGGGCTGAGACTTGCAGCCAAGGGTGCTGGGGATGGACAAGGAGCCTGACTCACCCTCGCTGTTGGCCCATGCTCCCAGGGCCCGAGGGGCTGGGCTGTAGTCCTGCGGCCACTGGCAGCCCGGCAGCTGGTTGAGTGGAGAGGGAGTGTTTGCACCCCCGTGGCCTGCGCTGGCCTATCTCCTGGCTTCTATTTGCTTCGGTACCTTGAGGACCAGGGAGCCACTACAAGGAACGGGCAGGTGTATGTCTGCCAACTGATGACCAGCTAGGGAGATGTGACTGGCTCAAAGGGGCCTTGCTGCTGGTCAAGTGCCCCAGGGGGCTGTGTGTGGAGGCTGGGTTGGGGGCAGCCTCGGGGTCCTTCTCCAAGAGCCCTGAGAAAACGCCTTGACTCTGGGAGTCAGCTGGGATCTGGGTTTGACAGCGAAGACTAAGGCAGCAAAAAGAAAAATAGACAAATTGGATTTCAAGAGACAGATGACAGTTACGCACCAAAAGTCACATCAGCAGAGTGGAAGATGATTCCCAGAAAGAGGAGGCATGGGTGGCCCGGAGAGGCGGCAGGACGGTGCTGCCCAGGCTGCGCCAACTCCTCGAGCTCTATAATGAGGAAAAATAACCCGCCCCAAGACGGGCAACAGAAAGAGTCAACTCTTCTCCAAGATGACAGCTGGCACCAAGAGAATCCACTCAGCATCAAGATTCATTAGAAAAAATGCAAATTAAAACCACTGGGCGAGGCCCCTCCCACCATGAGAGTGACTGAAACGGTGCTGGGGAGGAAGTGGGGACGGGGCGCCTTGCAAAATGGCGAGTGCAAAATGGGGCAAGTGCCCGAAGAACAACACAGCAGCTCCCCAAAGGACAAAAGCACAGACCAGCTTTGGGGCAGGCCAAACTGCCCCCTGCAGCGCCTACATTCTCTATGGGCACCGGTCTGTGTCCTGGCTGCCCTGCTTCTGCCCCCACATCCTGCCTGGGAAGACAGCACAAGAGGGTCTTCGTGCCTGGCTCCCTGCTGCACGGGTGAGAGACCCGGACGAGGCTTCTTGGTCCTGGCTTTGGCCTGGCCCAGCACTTGCGGCCATCTGGGGAATGAACCAGTACATGGAAGATCTCTGTCTTTTGCTTCTCTGTAACTAATGTTCAAAATAAACAAATACATCTTTTTAAAAACAAAATGGAAGGTAGAAGGAGCACATGACAACAACTCGGGCTTGGGGTTGGTGTGGGACGGGACCGAAGGAGCGCGGTTACAGCTGTCTGCTGATGGCGCAGCGATGGTCCAAACAGGGCGAGCACCTGCAGCCTGTACCTCCACGGCCTCCCAAAGAGGGACATTGCACTTGCATGACAACCTGGGTGACCCTGGAAGACGTTCAGGGAACAAGCCAGTCCCTTAGGGGTCCTACTGCGAGACTCTGTTTCTGTAGGGCTGCTAGAGCAGCCAGTACCTTGGAGTGAGAAAGCAGCCTGGGGCAGGGTGAGCAGTAGAGTCGGAGTCCAGGCTTGTCCACAGGGTGGGGAGTACCTGGAGGCACTGGGTGAGAAGTGCCAGAGGTGTAGGGTGGCCATGGCTGCACAGCCCTGTGGGAGTCCCTGACACGCCGAGCTGCTCCTTGAGAGTGGCGTGTTCTGCCCTGGGTGGGTCTTACTGCAGTAAACACACTTGCACCATATGGGTGGGTCCCGTGTGCCCCTGCCTCCTGTGCCCGCAGGCAGGATAGCTCTGTGTGCTTGCCTAGGTCTTGCTGTCCAACTGCCAACTGTGTCGCATGCATAGCTTGAAAGCTGGAGGTGGCCTTGCCCAGGCACTGAGATCAGGAGACGGCCTACACTGTGCTAAGGGAGTGCGGACAGCGAGAACACAGCGGTTATTACAGTGGAGGAAGCAAGCCGAGCTCCGAGCCGACAGGTGCCTAGAGTGACACCAGGAATACCGAAATGGTCCGGGACCTGAAGAGGGCAGAGCACCTCAGCCCTGCGCCCTGCCCTCACCTTGGACAGGTGTACCATCGCTGCTGCCCTGGGCTGAGCAAAGTCGGGGAGGTAGACAGGAGGGTGCTGGTCTCCCGTGGCTCAGTCTGACCCCCATCCTTGGCTACGCGGGAATAGCAGGCAGTGGGCCCTACTGCCTTCAATAAATCAACATTCCCACCCCCCCAGTGCTGCTAACGAGCGGTTCTCAGAACAAGGAAACAGCCACTGAAAGTGGCCCCCAAGAGCAAGGGGATGAAAGGGGGGCCCAGCTGCCCCTGTCATCAGATGGCAGACCAGAAGTGACGCAAGCGTGAGAAGCTTCCTGT